CAATCTTATTTTCTAAGTTTTTAAACTTGGTTTCTACCTTATTTTCTAAATAATTTTTATTTTTTAGAGGATTTGAATTTTCTAAGATTTTCTAAATTTTGTTTTCTATGCTAAAATATTTTTTAATGCAATTTGAATATATTTATTTTAAATAAATTTGGTATTTCCATCTTTTATCAATTACATTTGAAGCATCTAATGGCGTCACTTTCAGCTTTGTAGTCCCAATTATGATTACAATCTAAAGGTTTATTTTATGGCTCCATTATTTTATTTAAAAGTGAATTTTTCCAATTTTCTAACAGAAAAGTTCTGGTTTATTGCAAACAAAACAAGTAATTGTATTTCTATAAGTCTTGTTAGTGTTATATTTTCTGACATATTTTTCTTTGTTTAAATACGGTTTTCTGGCATTAGATTTTCTTAAATAATTTTTCTTTACATAATTTTTCTTAAATCTAGGTTGGTTCCTCCGATTTTTATCATCAGGATGATTGCCATATTGTTGAGGAGTATAAATTTGTTTACAGAATCCTACATTCTTTTGTTTTGATTCTTTTTAAATTTGAATATAAGTACATTTCTTTTTAATTCAGAAATAATGTATTGTATTCTTGTTCCAATGTTATCAAATTTATTATTAACTTTTAATTTCTTCCAATTTTCATGAATTTCATGACCTAATGGTCCTGGTAATTTGGTAAATAATTTTTCTCCTAATTCTATAGAAAAATAGTTTCCTGAAGTGCTTGCTAAGGCATAAAAGTCTTGTAAAAATTCTATTATATGATTTCATTCATATAATTGAATTTGTTTTAAATCTCTCATGGCTTCGGCCTGTCTCATAGTTAATCCTACATTGACATCTTTACATGTAATACTTATGTGTATTAAATATGTAAAATTATGAATGTTATTTCTTTGAGTTACTATTTCTGCTAATTTTTATGGAAAATTAGCTTTAAATGCTTCCCAACCAGCTCTAGCTATATCTCCTAGATAATTTTCAGCAATTTTAATCATTTCTTCATTTGTTTTAATATTATAATGTTTGCTTTCATAATCTCTGATTATCAAAGAAGTTCATTGTTCAATGTATGTATTTAAAAATTGTGGATTGATATTAGTAATGTTTATCATAACTTGTTCATATCCCTACACATTAATTTTATTAGGGTTTCTTTTTCCTAATGCCTTTAGATTATGATTGTTGTTAGTGTAGATAGCCACATGAAATCTTGAAGGGTGTCCTGTAGAGTAACTCATTTGTATTGGTCAACTATTTAGAAATCTAGATGTAACAGAGTTGCTAGATTCTTCATTTACTAAATTCTTTTCTGAGTAGTTTATCTCAGAATTTTCTTCTTCTACATTCTCAGTTTCTTCGAATAAATTTTTTAGACTTTGCGCGTCTTCCAAATATTTTTCCATAAAGAATTTTTTGTTAGTATTCAGATTTGCTAATTTTGTTTATGTATTGTATTTTTCCATTAAAAGTTCATCATTCTTAATTTTTTTTAATTCTTCTAGTGTTAATACTTTTCCAGTCATCTTCACTAGTTTGCTTATAGGTTTCCTCATAATTTTTAAATCTTAAGGCTAAAGAATCTTTGATAGTATAAGTCACAACCTCTGTAGGTGTTAATGTTTCAACTTCAATCTGAATATTGTTTTTAATTTTCCATTTCTCTCCAGCTAAAAGAGATAGGGAATTGGTTCTGGACCTAAAAAGTTAATTCCTCTTGATGTGATTGTTTTAATCATATCCTCAATTTTCAGTTTAAATTTTGGTGAGACTTGTGTTGATAATTTTCTGAGAAAAATAATGTCTATTACAATATTTAATCCTTTAAAATTTTTAAATTCTTTACTCTGAACTTGATTTTTTATGTATTTTAAATCTTTAATTCCAATGGTAAAATTTGAACATAAATAATGGATTTCACAGTTGCTATTCATGTCTACTTCAATTACTTCTATAATTTGTTTATTTAGTTCTGAATAGTATCTAATATGGCTATTAGTACTTTGGTACCATTTTATTTCATTACTAAACATCTTACATCAGTTGTGATAAATCTTAAATGTACATAATTCTTTTTTTATTTGATTTATACTATCAGTTGTTAATCCAAATTCTTTAATATGACCATTTGGTAATTCTAGCATTTCTGACTTGTGTGTTCTAATTAAGCTTGAATTATTTTTAAGGAATCCAGACTTATATAGTTGGGTTGGTCTTAAGAGATTAATGTGGTCCTTTGTCATAATTTCTAAGTCTTTATTAGTGTCCACAATTTATTCTAATTGACCAGAATTGTTATCTTCTTTTCTATTTAAAAATTTATTTAAATAGGAAGTATTTTGAGTTTGGTCTAAAGTGGTAGTTCTAGATGAACTAACCTCCTCATCCATTAATGTTCTAGGTCGGCCAATAAAAGATTCATAATTTTAAACGTTTTTAACTTCTTCTGTATTATAAGTTAAGAAGTTTTTTATTCTAGTACTCTTTGTTTTTCTTTCAATACTTATTTATGAAAAATTTTCAATTAAAGAATCTATAGATACTTTTAACTCTTCTGATCTATTAGTCGAAGTTTTATTTTTTACCTGCTCCTTTAAGGTCATTTAAATTTGTTTATTAGAACTTAAATTTTCTCTTAATAATTATTCTAAAGTTTTTAATTTTTCTTTCTTATTTATTTAAACAAGTCTTGAGGTGATTTATATTGGATTCTATTTATGGCTCAAATCTAAAGTTCATATATATATATATATATATATATATATATATATATATATATATATATATATATATATATATATATATATATATATATATATATATATATATATATATATATATATATATATATATATATATATATATATATATATATATATATATATATATATATATATATATATATATATATATAAAATTTTTAAAATAATATTCCAAAATTAAAAAAAAAAAAAAAATCTCTAAATTTCAAAATAACTTTTTAAAAAAAAAAATCTGTTCTATTTCAAAATAACACTTTTTAAAATTAGTTGATATATTCTTTCCACCTTTAAATAGAGCTGATAAATTTGGCTACTCGGTCTTAAACGGGTTGATTCTGACGGGTCCGGAGTTAGGTCAAAAAAGCTCTATTATAATATGGGCCTCAAAATTACTATCCGAGTCCGGCCTTAGATGGGCTTTGGGATACCCAGTCCTAAACTGACCTTTTTTAATTAAAAAATTAAAATAAAAAATTCATAATATTTATTATAAATAAAATCAAAAATTATATTATTTTAAATATTATATATTTTTAATTACTATATTATCTTTTATAAATATTATAATATGCTTTTAAATACAATATACGTCTAAATTGTATAAAATAATACTCAAATATTTAACATAAGAGAAACTAATTGAATACGAGGAAAGAGTGTTGATTATATTAATGTATAATATTTAAAATAGAAGATTGAATAGAATAGAGATCAAATTTAGTGAAGTGAGAAAAATTAATGTATTATTTTAGAGTAACTCAATACAAGAATTAATATAATTTTTTTAAAATTTATAGCTATGCGAGTCTAATAGACTATCTGCGATCGATGCGGACTAGCTCTAATGGATAGTTGGCTTTTTAGGGCTGGGTTAGAAAAACCCTTCAAATATGGACTCTAATTTGAAGGCACAAGCCTTATGATTTTTCGGGCCGGCAGACCAGCCTATATGGACTAACCGATTTTGACAGCTCTGTCTTTAAGTGTGCATCACACACCCTTGAAAATTCGAAAATGTCCTATCCAAAATTATATTCGAAAGTGCTATTTTAAGATCCACCTCATTTTAAACAAAATATATTTTAAAAATACATCTATATACATTATTTATGTGTATTTGTTAATGCATCTCTGAAATATCCATAGAATAATTTTCAGACAAAACACCCGTGCAAACATTGTATTTTTTAAAAACAAAGTTATTGTATTTTTTGAAGCAAAGTTATTTTCAAATAAACTCAAATAATATTAAACTCAAATGAAAGTTATATAGTCGTATATTAGTAAAGCTTGAGAGGAGAAAGAGAATTTATTTTTAAAAAAAAATTATCAAGATGAAAGGCAGTCAGACACAAGATATGAAAACAAAGCGTCCGAAGATACATCTCCAAACTTCTCACATTTATTTGAATAAATAGTATTTATCGAGATGTATCATCAAACACACTTTTATGGATATGGAGATCCATCTCTTAATACATGTTTGACACAATTAAGTGTTTCTTCAATTTGATCTTAGAAATGACTAAAAAAAAGTGTGTTTAAAGATGCATCTCAGAACTCTAGAGTCTAAACTTTTTTTTAATAGTGAGAGATAACACATAAGGGAAAAAACAACTCCCTGTCTTTGGGGTGCTAGACCTTTATGCACAAGGAGTGAATTATGTTAAAGGAATTTGATGCCCAGAAATGGATTATAAAATTTGTCTAGCAGAAAATGTTAAGTTCAATTTTAATAAAACTTTATGATAACTAAATTATGCTTGATTTCTTGAATTGTAAATGTTAAGACACTTTGATCTTTAAATTTTTTTCATTTTGTTTTGATGCTTTAAATTAAGCGTATTGGACACACAAAATGAAAATTGTGACTTATTCCACAAAAATAAATTTGTAACTTATGAGAATAAAATATCTAATGTTTGTAAAAGATACTTGAGAGATTCAAGTGAGTATCATTTATAACTTATATATACCAAAATAGAATGGGAAAAAACTCGAAATAAAAATATAATACTTTGAAGGACAGAGCAAGAAGATTTCATTTAGATCAGTCTCTACTAAAAACTAAACTTGCTATGAAGAGATACTTTTATTTAACATACAACATGAAACTATTAGCAAATATATCGCACATCATAACGAGAGAACCCGAACAAGGGTTTACCCATGACAATGACTCAAATTCTCAGAATTTTTTCTAGCAAAACCTCTTAAACAGTCATGGAAGAGTTCATCTCATTTAGTATGCGGTAGTATCTATTATGCTCTGAGGTGTTTTTGAAGCTAGGAAGGAAATCTGTAAAGAATCTTAGAACTGCAGCAAGATGTTGGGAGTCATTGGATACAAAAGCTGCTTCTAAAAACAATGACGGTCGGATGGTATCCACCTGAAAGTAATTCTTGCAATAGTTAGCTTTCGAGCTATAAACTAAAAACAAAATCATAAACACAAATCTTGTGATACTTTCAAGATTCGATATACACACTCTACAAGACAACTAGTTGAAGCAGGTCTTGATGGCATGCTTCAGCAAATTATACATTTCAGTTTATGATCATAAATAGTTGCTCAATGAAAGAACTTCAAATGAAAGAACTTCAATGGAAGACAATGTGACAAAGCCTTTGGTCATGGAAACTCACTTGTCAAAATATATTTTGTTCGATCAGTATGCTAGTGGGTATTCATACGAAGCGGCAAGAGCACACTTCCATATATTATTCTGAAGTTGCAGCCTTGCAGATCAAACGAGTTTTGTTTCAGCATGGACCATTCATATTTTAACATCTTAAAAAAGTAATTTCAATATATTTTTCATAACTTTGATAGTTTATAAAGACGGTCTTAATTATTTTTAGTTGCATTTTAATCCTACTGTCGATGAGATAGCTGTGATAGTTTTGAAAAGAGTGAAAGAGCTTGAGCCATTGCTCGCCTGAAATTCATGTCCGAGTAGAATGCATACTGTCGTGGCTACTGCTCATGCTTAAATCACCCAATCTGATCTACTTATTTGAGATCTGCCAGGAGGGAAAGCGGAGCAAACCTTTACTCGTGTGTTACCCCAAACCCTAACACCTTGACGAAACACAGGTTTACTGCTCAAGTCCAGGGTGTTTTCCAACTTGCAGGAGAGCATTGTGTGTACATCCTCCAGCCAAAGACTCAATAATCACACCACATGACTTACATATTAACCATTTGATCTACAGGAGAGCTAGAAGGATTTTCCCGGAAGCCCAGCCAGAACACTTCCTCTCAGGTGAAGTCTATTCTACTTCTACCATTCAATTATAACATGGTTGGCCTTCCGACCGACTAGCATCCCCTGCTGCATGACAGTGCAAGCTTCCTGATAGCCCAGTTAAGGCTGTCACAGGAGCAGCCACTGCAGGTTGATACTTGATAGTGACAATTCAAGAGTGGGGGAGAAATTTCCGAGGTTGTGTGCGTGGGTGGACAACATGCATTTAATGGGGAACAACATCAGGTCAACGGAGATGATGTAGCCTTGCGGTTACTTTTCATTGTGAGCCTGAGTCTGAGCCTTCCACAACCCTCTTCCCACAGAATATTTATGCAAGGTGATGATGCAAGGCAGGGTTCCTTGCCATAAAACCCTACTAATCAAGAGAGAAGAGTTTAACTCCCTTCACACATTATGCTCTTAGCCTGCCTTTATATTTGTCTTCCCAGGGTAAATCACATAGGCAAGGCACTCAAAATTTCTATCAATCATTGATCTTCTGTCTAGCCCCCTAGGGAATCTGGGGACTTGAATCTCCTAAAGTGGCTAAAGTTTAAAGTGAGAAAATCAATGGGTTGTTATTTTAACAAACCCATGATTTATTATAACGTGCCTACAATATTCATCTTTGATTTGTTAATTAATGGTTGATAAGTGAATTGCTCACTTTAGAGGAGCCAAATCCGGAATCTGAGGGCACCTAAACACTACCACTAAAAAAGAGATTAATTTAATCTTACTGTTAAAAACACATTATCTACTTTCTGTAAAGGGCTCTCTACAGATGCTGGGAGTGGGAATAAAAACTCGTTGGCAGACACAGACAATCGGATGAATGAAATTTCTACAGCAATAAAGTCTACAGAATCATAAGAAATCTGTAGCACATATTCCTCAGATTTCCATCATCACCCTGTTATTTTTAGTATTTAAAACACTGCAAAATTACTATCCAGAACAGGATCAAGCAAAGTATAAATTACCTTGTACTTCCGTGCATATCGCAGGGCTTCAAGGTAGTATCCATCTTGCACTAGCAGCAATACATAATCATTATGTAAGCCAAGCTGTCTCAGCATATCCAGACCAAGCTTCCTAGTTTGGGTGTTCTGACGTCCAGACTCCAGGAGTTGCAGTGCAACTTCCTTAGAAGGCTCCAAAATCTGCAACAAAAAGTCTCTTAGAATTAAGTTAACTATAATTTAACATGTAAAGACCTACTATCTTCACAAAAATACTATGCAGAGAAATAGGTAACCTTATTTACGACAAACAACCCCAACTCAGCATAACGTTCATTCCGCACCAGAAGTTGAATTATCAATACATATAGATTTGGGGCCACACGAATCTTTTCCAAATTTGCACTGCAACGATAAATAAAAGGCATTGAGGATTGATTCTCAAGAGTGGAAGTAAAATTTATGATCAGATAAAAAACTAGCATATTAAAGTCCCCAAATTTTCATCCATCATTTCAAGTAGACATTATCAATCCAAGACACCTAATAAGTATGCATAATATCCCAAGTCAAGTCATTCTGAGGCTAAGGGATACCGATAAGTTATAGAAGTGAAAGAGAGTAATGCACTTTGACCTACCTAATGCTTCTTTGTATCTTTTAATATTATTACTCCCCACATCCCGTTTTAATATTATTTGACCTACCTCAATGAGTGCTTATAATTAGGAACGGAGGGAGTAATATCCAAGGTATGCTGCAGATTATTGTCGGTTCACAGACAGCACGGAGATGCTTTTACATATCTTTTTAAAAATAGATTTTTATCAAGGATTTTCATTTTACACCCTTTGGACCAGAAATATTCTTTAGGTGCCTTATCTAGCTAACCATTTTGTCATAATGATAATACTGCATTTTTTGCTCTTTAAAAGAAAAGTCCAAGACACAAGTTAAAGGACCACTCTGTGCAAGAGGTAGGGACACTGCTATGGAATATTAAGATTGAATGTCGCAAGGTTGAGTTATTTTTAGCATTTTTGTGTTAAAAAGATTACTTATCTCGATTACATAATCTTGGTATGGGGGCCATTCAGATCCTGCTAGAAATTTTTAGGGTTGCCATTCCTGTCTACTGTGATACAATCTCGTGTGTTTTTTGTAGGAGTTGTGGTAGACATATCTAGTGTGTCTTTTGTAGGAATTGTGAAAGACGCCTAAGCATGGGAAATTTAAAGGGAAAAGGATGGATCAAGAATCAAATTCTTAACAACAAGCCTACCAATAATGGAGACCATGGGTAAGTGACGTGTGTTTAAATAGGACCTTCAAATCTACCCGAAAAAGAAGATTGATAACAGGAAACAATTAAAAAGTTGATCATACTGTTGACTCTAAACTAGATCCCTTGCAATGGAAAACAAAAGCACAACATCAGTGGATTGTTAAGGCACAGTTGTAGTTGAAGTTTTCAATGGTTTTTTTAAATAGTAGAAATCATGTCTCATTGTCACACATTATTAGTGGACCAAACTAAATTCCATTAGAAACTAGAATACAAATCTATTGAATGCCTCGAGAGTCAAAACATACTTTTAACAAAAAAAGAGTAGTTTTGACAAACCTGTGAAGAAACTCAATAATTATAGCAACCAAGTAAGAAGGATCGCCCACCATCTCTTCATCAACGGGAGAAAAGACAAAGTTGTACATCTCATCAGGTGAAATTGCTGCTGAAGTAAGTTGGGAATCCTCTTGAGCAGAAAATAAAGATGATTGCATAGCATAAGAACTATGAGCTTCGTTACGAGGGGAGTTCACATTGTTTACACTACCCCCAACAAGGGCCTCCTTTGAACTGTGTTTAAGATTTGCAAACTGTGATTCATCCTCAGAATCCAAAGTTCCACTGTCAACTCTAGTGGTAGATTCATGTACGATCGATTTCCCAACTGCATCACTTTCTATAGCAGATACATCAGCGTCAGCATTTTGTGCACCAGAGTTTAATGTCATCTCTGGTTTCAGCCCCTTCAATAAGCTACAAGTTTTAATTGAATGGCAGTACGAGGTAACTAGTACATTTATAGCCTTGGCAACCACATGCACAGGTCTGTGCTCTAGAATAAGTGTCTGCGTTATACCCAAGCACAATTGTTTAGCCTGAAAAAACAGAAGAAGAAAAACGTTGAGATTTAATTAATCATCAATTGATTAGTTCAAAATTTCAAAACAAACGAATACTATTAATAATTGTAGCTCAGAACCAATTAAAAATACATTTCAAAATAAAACAGCTTCCTTTACAGTCAATTTAGATGGAGGGTTAAGGCAGAATCACATTCCAGACTTACAGTGCAATACCCCAATAGAGAATAACAGGGAATTCAATACTATCATGTACTCAATTCTAACTCTTATAATAGACAGGTAGGACTCTCAAGTCTCAAATGCAAGTTAATTGCACTTTAGTTCTGATACCAGTCAGTAAAGTAAATCAAACATTATTTCCTTGTATATTATGGGATACTTATGCCCAAAGAGCCTCAAGATGACTTGAAGAAAAAATTCTGCTACTTTAAATCTGCTAAATTAAACATAAGTGTAATTGATTCCTAGAAGTGAAAATTGCTAGACATAAGTGACCATTAAAAATAGCTGAAGTGGAATAATGAATATATTTATTGCACTAATTATGCGAAAGCTGGGATGCACCAAAAAAAAAGAGAGCACAAAAGGCTGTGCCAATGGAAGAGTAGGGTTAGCCAGTGAAACGAAGCAGGCTATATTAGACTATGGCAAAAGAGGCATAAGGTTGTCAGTGATACAGTTAGACTTTGTAGAAGCAAAGAGGATATGTACTTTTTCTGGCTAGTGCCTTCCTTTCTCCGATGTTAAGCCGCAACATCTAGTAGTAAGGGGTCATCCTCTAGTAAGCTGATGAAATTTACCAACTTAGGGCAACTAAAGTCATTTTGGTTCAGAATCAGCTTATACAATACATGAATAAGAAAACAGCTGGGAACATAGTTGCAGCCCCTAGAAATAGAGTGGTCAATACAAAAGTGGCCAAACCCAGGTACAAACTGACTGACTGCTGGTAAACTTAGTTTAAATTAAAAAATGAAAAATAAAAAATAAAAAATAAAAAACAGCCAACAGCAATTGCTGCACTATTGCATCTTGAAGAATTAATCAATTAGCTAACACACCTTGTTAGCTTCCAACTTTCGCCGCTGCAGGAAGTCTAATACTGATGGGACATCTGAGTTACTGGCAGAAATTGCCTACAAAATAAGGTTATTCATTTCACGAAAGCACCACCAAATTTGGCATTGATACCGAAATGAACAAAAAACTTACTTCTAAGTCTAAATTGAATTTCCATAATAGCTTATTGGCCACATCGCACACGAGATCAGGGACTAGGAAATTCCATGTATCGGTATATGTAACTGCTTCATGGCTACTCACAACATTAACATCTGAACTTTCACTTTCTCTACCACTAAATTGAGATGTGGAACTGGACCTTGGGAAACCCCTTAACAATAAAGGAAGTGGTGCAGATATTGGTGCTCGAGAATCTGCAAAGAGATCATAAAGTATAACAACCTTTGCATCAACTTGGTGAATAAGAAGTACATTGTCGACCACACTCACAGCAATCCTGCTGGAATAAATTGGTAAAGATCCCTGCAAATATGACATGTGCATCAACTTCAATGAATGACATAATCACTGTTATCATATATAACCCAGGATTTAATTACAAATCCCATATGGACTTGTTTTATTTGTGTCTAATTAAAACAGTTGTACAGAGTTATAAGAATTACAATAGGGAGGTAAAACATGTGTAAAATTTGAAGTTATAAGTTAAATTTAATTGATCAGAAGAAACGCAATAGTATTAAGATAAATTCAATCAATCTTACTGTTACCAATTTTCAAATTTCTGAAAAAGATCTAATTCTCCATTAGTTATTAAATTATTTCAGATTGTTTGCTACTCATGAAATCACACAATGAACTAATACTGAGCTGTATCTAAATTTTCTGTCAGTAAAAAATGTTTTATCAAATGAATAAATAACCCAAGATTTTAAAGGATCACAAATATTCATTATATCTGTTTAACATCATGTATTATAAGTGACATTAGAGTTTCCCGAAAATAAAATAGAAGGGGAACATATACTTAATAGAAAATTGGCATATGTTCAGAGAAGCTCTCGCCAATGTTATTATAAAACAGAACTTAAGGTAGAACTTAATTTTTAAGTCAATAAGAAATTTGAGCAAAACCAACCTGCTGTATCACTGCATCACGATATAGCCTATAGGAATGGAGTAGCATTGCAACTCTATCAACTTGCAAGCAGTATATCCTACCATAACTGTGATTGATTGTTTAAAAAAAAATGAATAAGTTTGCTATCAACTCTATGTTAATAACAGAAGTATAAGGTTGAAGAAATATAAATAACTGGTACATACACAGTAACAATAAAGATGTCTTCAGCTGCTAATACGGGCTTACTATTTGCCTCAGATTTGGCCATAACCATCTCAAACCGTGGTAAGCGAACAACATCTGCAGACGAAATCTAACCAGAAATGTTTCTGTATCAGTCAAATGAATTAACACAGGAACACTGTCTGATAAAATCTATTTTGATACTGAAGAGTCGTGAGAAGGACTATTAAAGTAGCCGTTGATTTATGTTATCCTTTTCAGAACAGTAGTGATATATTTTACTTTGATCAAAACAAAATTAATTACTTTCTATGATGTAAGTATCTTATTGTACTAAAATTAAAAGAAAGAAAAAAAAGCAAAAATCATATTTTCCATACCTGAAATCCATGGAATGTCTTGCACTGCATTCCAGAAGCAAGAAGAACCAGGCGGCTTTCATGTGTGTAAACATACCAACTAACATTCAGTTTCTTTGTTTCCACTAATTGGAGTGATTTTGACTCTGACTTATATGCACACAAGTCTAGACCACTGTAAAAAAATTGGAATAAGTATCTCTTTACTTAAGAAACGAAAAAGGAAAAGGGAGGAGGAAGGCAAAATACTCGGAGAGTAGTGTCATATTTGCAATAGTTTAGAATACAATATCATTGTGCCAGAAGTCATATGCAAAAGCTCATGCCTTTACAACTCTAGTAGGATAAGCTTGTTTTTTAGCATCATTATTTTGCACAGCCAACAAAACATTTTAGCAGGTTATTTTGACAGACATCTCAAGGAACTGCAAGACTGTTTTGAAATAAAAAATTGGAGATAGAGAAAATTATTATCAATTAAAGTAACACTAACAGTCATTTTAAAATTGTCTCTAAGGGGATTTGAACTCCGTCTGTAGAGGTTACGAAGTTAAACTTTTATCAATGAGTTGAAACCTCACGGACCAGGAGCTGCAAGACTTATCCTTTAATAAATAATTTTATATTTGTACCTTCTCTTTACCTTACAATATGCTTCTTCCCAAAAAACTAAAATAAATAAATGTTCATCCAAGATGACAAAAAATAAACAAAGTGAAGGGAAGAGAAGTAGGAGAGAAACAAGTGCCCCACAGATATTAATGTGAGAAGAGAACTAGAAAAAATAAAAGTTGGTCAATATCAAACACTGGTGTATAAAACACACTGATGATCAGACAACAATATAAACTCTAGTTATGAAACACAAATTCAAGAACAACTGCCCCATACCCATTGTATTGAGAACAATGCCTCAAAGTCACATTTCATCGTGGCTACGTATAAATATGACTGGAGAAAACCTTAACCTAACAAGATAAGTATTTCCTATGTAAATTTGTTCCCCTCAATATTTATAGAAAATTTTTCATAATTGCAATGCCCTTCTATGAATTGTTTGATTCAGATTGTTTCTTCTCAAAAATGATTTTGGAAATAAAGGAATAAAACAGCATTTTAAGTTATTGTATTCCTTATCTAAGAAGGCAAGTAAAAATGTGTATTGAAACTGCAAAAAAAATAGCATTCAGCATTAAAGCATCCAAACTGGCTCGGAGTTGCTGGACCCCTACCACACTTACTAAAGAACACTACAGAGTGACAAGTACATGACGAGAGTTTCATAAATTTCTAAAGACGGGTTTAAGCACCAGACAAGTAGATCAATGAATATGCTTGATCCAATGAAGAGACTCCAACTTATTTACTAATTATTTGAAATCTTATTATAGGACTGAAAATTTCCATACTGGAAACAGTTTTACTAGCTTTTGCTGGATCTCATCTGAACTTAACATCAGGACATTAAAAAAAATGCATTAATAACCAACATAATTGTCATGAATGTTCAGATGATAAGAGAGGCAACCATACGTGGTCTTAACGATAACAATATCACATTGTTGACTGTCTGTCCAAAAAAATCCAAGTATACTTTCTGATTCTGCCCTGCACTTATGGCTAAACGTTTCTGCAGTTTCTCTATCCCAAAATTGTATCTCATGGCCCGATCGCTGAATTGCTATAACCTTTGTGTCTAAAGAATACCGAATAGCTATAATAGGGCCTTCACTTATTGAGTCAGTGGTGGGACCAATGAGAGGATCAAAGAGACTGACTTTCCATGAAAAGACCTAAACATTACAAAAATATATGTAATTTGACAGTTGAAAATTTATATAGAGAAATAGATAGATAACACATTGTTTTAATAAAATTCAAAAAGGTGCACAAAACACAAATAATTTTTCACCGAAAAACAAATATATGAACACGTCATGTTACCTGGTCAGCAGTTGGGGAGAGTAGCAACTTATTTCCATCATCATAAAATAATCCCCTTGATCCAGGAACATTACATCGAAGCGGTGGGTACTGAATGTAAGCATGTGAAAGACCACCAGATCCTCTAAGACCTATATTATGACTCGAGGCTGTTGCTTTTCCAGACATGTAGCTGGTTCTTGTTTATACGGTAAGTACCAGGGATATGAAACAAACTGCAGCAAAGCGGCTAAAGTTATTTACATTCTAGGACAATAAAAGTTAATGTATCTATGATTAACGGGAGATATGAGTGTAGAAGGTTAAACCTTTGCCCCAAAAAGTTTTAGGACCTTCCTATTTAGACTGATAGCTGGAAATTTGTATAACCGTCAATAAATAATTGTGTTTGTTCAGTGGTCCAGAACAAGGAAGGAGATGGATGTTCACTTAACCCTTCTTTTTTAGCTGTTTGGATCAATATGTAATTTTAAACATAAGTTATTTAATAGATATGCCAAAATAAAGTAACAGCTATAAAGTGGGCACAACAAAATAGATCAATAATTTTAAAAAGAAACAAACATGGAAAAAAAATCTGAAACAGCTTGTAAATCTCAAAAGTCATGATCCAATTAAACGAAGTTTACAAAAACATTCCACTTCAGTCTTTTAAGAATGTTGCTTGCGGTTCTATTTCCCAATAATAAAATGTAAGGAATAGTTTTACAACTGAAATGCCGAGCCAGAGTAAAAACAAAAACTTAGTCAAGATAATTCTAGAATATGATACCGTATTTTGCATACAACTTTTTAACACCAGAAACTCCTTTAAACACACATCACGCTCAATGTCTGGAACCTTAGCTGCAACACAACTCCCATATGCTTTTGCCTAACGAATTAAACTTGGTTATCGCAAGTGATAAATGACAAAACAAGTAAACCATTTACAGGTACCAAAGATTTTACACAACACACTAAAATTTCCTATATCAGCCAAAAACCAAAAGCAAGTTTCTACAAACCTGAGAAGTACAATTCACTAAAATACGCTTGAGAACAGAGCTAGTATTCTTTTCCTTCATGTTCACAGCACTGTAAAACATAGAAAAGCTACAATTAAACCTAATCTACAATTTGTAAGTTTCAGAGATCCTGAATTTCTACTTACAAAAGCTTAATTTCAAAATTCTAGAATCACATAGTTTTTCACACCGGTTAACAAGAAGATTATTAAAACCCTAAGTAACATTCGTATAAAATTGCATGAACGAACAATGCTGTGAGGATAATTGAAATTGAAATTCGTACTAAACGAAGAGAATCGAAAACCAGTATATGTATCATAATTGCATAGAAATCGAAGAGGAAAAATTGGAAATGTGAGATAGAGAAATAGAAGAGGTTTGTGGAAGCTTACTGTTAAGAATTGTTCATATTCGTTCTTCAACAGAATCAATCGCAGATCAGGAATTTTGTTTTTCTATTGGAATGAATGACAAACTACAATACATACAGTGCTGCAGAGTTCCAGTACCTACCAGTCGTATTGTGTTGCGACTTCTATTCCTTTCGCTGTAGTTCAATTGTGGGCCGAAATTTACAGAAAATATTTGGGCTCGACCAGTTGTCATAGGATTTCAATTAGGACAATTTCTTAAAGCATCTTATATACCTAAAAAAACATCTGATGCAATTCCCAAAAAGTTTTTCAGTTTTCGAAAATGTATTTTCAGACGCACTATTTTTTTTTTGTTTAATGTTAGTTTATTTTGGAGATACATATTTGTAACGTGGTTGGAGATGTATCTCTGAAATTTATGCAGACAAATAGCAGATTAGTTTGTGAATGATTCTCATATCAAATAATGTTATAACATATTATAAGATTCGACTATAATAATGATATGAATAAAACGACATATATAAAGTTATAAGTCAAGATTACACAAATTCAATTCAAAAGTTACACCGAAGTCGATAAATAAAATAGAATCTAAAATGTATCAAGAGTACAAATACAATAATCTACTGTGAATTACAAACTATGAGTCGGCCTCGCCTTCGTCTCCTCATGTTTGTGCCTTGCCTCATGTACTGCAGAGTCTCCCGAGTCTCCACCATCATGGCATCTACAACACCCCTCGTCTTAAAGCCATCCGAAAAGAGTCCTCCATCAATGCTCGTTTGTCTAATCTCTATGACACGATGACATCTAGGCAAGACATCATGAGCATGATATACCTTAACCCGCTCATCCTCTAGTATCTCCTGATGAGCTACCCTAGGTGGATCTCTTGAAATATCATGTACCATATAAGGATGTGACACCTGGAATAACAATCAGGTGTAACCGTCTACGTAGCTTCAGTCGTTCGGTGTTATGGTACTTCGTGTCTCATCTGGTACCAGATAATTAACATAATCATCAAACATGACATTCATATATCTATGTTTCATATTGGGAAGAGCATACACAAAAGGATCTATGGAAATGTACTACACGTAGCTGAACTTACGCATGACGCGTTCAGACAGATGAAGAGCCGTCAGACATGACCCACAAGCCAACCATCCTGAATATAAGACAATGTCATCAATGAGAATTGTCTTATGGTGATAAACATATGTATGAAAGTGTATATCCTCAAAAACCAAACGGTCAATATATATCCTTTGAACGGTAATGTCACTTGGTTCCCTCTGAGTGGGGCGAACGCAGAAGCATGCGGTTTATCCTCAGTTTAAGTCGGCTCAAGTGACCAACCGGAGATGCGTGGAAAGTGTTGTAGGATCCAGGACTGAAAACAAGAACCATTAGTTAGTAACGGTGTTGTAATAATTTAATGAAAATGAGACACAAGCACTAAAAGACCAAGAAATATTAACGGTAAAAGTGTGATATTGCATATCACCTGCTTTGTCTTCCACATATAACCTCCAGATAACATAGAGTGCAAGTAGACCAAACAAACGTCCCCCTAATTGTACTCATGGATCTTCTCAAAATATTGTGACATCCACATAAGTGGTACTTTTGTCCACAAAAATGGCAGTGCCAACCAAATACAACAGGTATGCTCTCATAGCATACGCTCTGTGTCGCCCTACCTGCTCGACATCACCATCAGCCTGTCATGTTCTCGCTATCTCATTATCAAACACCTCCTACAAATAGCTAAATCTAGCATAGGCCTCATGGGTCTTGTCAAGCTCATTCATGGCACTCTCTAGTTCAACTCCTAAGTATTCTACCATCAATTTCAGTGCCTCTTCTTTGCAACACTTTCTATGATCTAAAAATCCCCCCTAACTAGAAGATGTAGCATACATGTGATATCGTCCTGTGTGATAAACATCTCACCATGTGGTAGATGGAAGGATGATGTCTTTGCATGTCATCTTTCTACAAAAGCATTAATCATACCATGGTTAACTATAGTGTAACGAGTCTTGCTCAAATCATGCAACCCTGATAGTTGTAAAATTTCATGAAACCATGACTCATTGGACTCTTGTAGGCGAGTGATCTTCTGCATATGGTTGATGATTTTCAGCAGATCACGTTCTAGCATACAAGGTTTAATAAGAATGATTGAAACAAATAAAAGTTAATAATAAAACAAACATACTTTTAAATGAATAATTCCAACTAAATTTTACCTCTTTATTCCATATATATTTGGCACCATGGTTCAGGTAAAAAGGCAACAGTGATAAGTCTGATGGGCCTTCTCCAAAACCCTAAGGTGTCACAGATGCAACCTCGTCTGCTTGGGCTTGTGATGCATCAGGTGCCGCCTGGGACTAGGATGTATGTGATGCCTCATGTGCCGCCTGGGACTGTGATACCTTAGGTGCCTCCTGGGACTATGATGCCTCAGATGTCGTCGGTGTGGTCTGGGACTGGGGTACCTTAAGTGTCTCCTAGGACTGTGATGCATCTCCAGCCTCAATTACCTAAATTGGTGAACTCATGCTTCTACGTGAAGATGGAGGAGAGGAGGTATGAGCAGGGAACCTTTGCCTGCTACGAGAGAATGAAGAAGAAGGCGAAAATACATGAGCCCCAAAACCTGACGTTGTCTCCGTATCAACCTGTCTAGAGGTGGAAAGAGCCTGAGATGGTTGATTATTTTCCCTCCGAACGGAAGCATGTTGTGTAATCCTACCGTGTCTCAATCTGGATTTTCTGTCAGCCATAACTCTTGTAAATAGATAAGATAAGTGTTACATAATGACTCCTTTACAAAAAATAAGGAAAAATACTGCAGGCAGACTGCTTATGGAGATGCATCCCCGGTTAATTGGTAAACATTAAAAAATTATGGAGATGCATCTTTGGAAATTCGTGCAACTTCAAGCTCAGTCTATGGTAGAATGTAGACCCATAAAACCTCAAAAAATCATTAATTGTATAATTACCTAACTAAATTGTTTATCGGTAGTTTTAAGCTATCAAACACTAAAAATTTCGATTTCAAAACCTAAAACTCAACTTCTACACAATTTTACATTAACTCAATAAACTTCAAAAAATGCTTACAATTTTTCACTTCAGGTTGATTCGTGTTGCTCAATGATGTTTGAATACTGATGTTTGATGAAGTTTGATGTTGTTTGATGAAGATTAAATGTGTTATGAGTGAGTTTCAGATAATGGAGTTTGATGAGTGTTTGTAGAAATGGGTTTTGGAAAGAGTGTGAGTAACTAAGGGAGGAGAAAAGGCTATGGCGCGTATTTGAACGAATAGCGTCCAAAAATGCATCTATGTAAGTATATTAGAGATACATCTCCAGAATAATTTGCATGAAAGTTGGTCCCAGGAAATTTATGTCCTGAAGTTTGGTGCTTCCGGAGATGCAATTTATATTTATCAAGTGATATTCTTACATTGCTACCTCTGGTCTAGAATCTGGGTATTACCGGTATTATCCCTAATATCCAAAAACCCTAACAATTGGTATTCGTCCGGTGAACATGGACTCCTTACCGTCACGCTCTCTGCTCAAACTAGAACAACGACTTGACGACCATTTTGCTTAGCTTCAACTTCAGCGCAATGTAGACATGGAGAAATACGTGTGTTGCTTAGAAATCAAGCATACCAGCGTTTGTCGGCGCCAAATGCTTGACAAGGTTATACCATCACCCGAAACACCAACTAAAACTTATATGCTACAGGGATCACTAAGGTGGAGTTTCCACGTTTTGGAAAAAAAAATGTGTGTTAATGGTTGTACAAGTGCGACAAGTTATTTTCACTCGACGAGATCGCCACCATCAATGGTGTGCTTAGCTTCCATCCATCTCGATGGCTTAGATCTGCAATGACATTTGAACTATATGTGCTAAAATTTTAACATCTACCCTCCTTGTCTACAATACATCACTAACACTAATACAAAAAGCACTTTAACCTAGAATGTGAAATGTATTTTACCTCGACTAAAGAAGCGAGGTGACGAAGGGCGTCATGAAGTGTAATCACTTAACACATCGGTTATTAAAACACTGATGGGGTAAATTTATTTGTGCATGGATTTGAAACCCATCATCTGCACTTTTATTATTTACAAAGCTAGTGTCGTATATATCTCGGTTTATCAATAAAACTAAAGGGTAAGTTAGATTGTTTTTTTAATTAAAACTCACTACATTGTTTACACAAAAAATTAATAAAATAATTTGTACAAAATACAATGTTTACCCAGAATATTACATGGTTTACATAGAATAATAAAATAAAAATTATTTGTCCATAAAGATTATATGTTGAATCTTCAAATCTTTGATATTCTAGACAAGATCAAATGCTGGGTGCCAGGATATTTTCAATTACTTTTGCTTGCATTTGTTCATGTTATAAACAAAAAAAAAGGTTTGATAAAAAAGGGTTGATAAAAAAAGAGTTAGATAAATAAATGATTTTTTGTGTAAATAAATATTTACGAACACAAACCTTAAACCCAAATAATTTTCTGCTCTTGCAATCCCTTATAGAGAACTCTTCATGGTAAACACTCTTGAAAACCTTAAAGAGGAGGAAGTTTCAAACGCTTCATGATGTTTCATTATTAATTTTTTATATTCATAATAATTTTATAATGGAAGTTATTTATGTTTCACGCGGATCACTAATGGTAGTGTCATGAGTATTGATAGTCATGAAATGGACGATAAGGATTTGATTAAGGCCGGTGATAAATATCCTCAATTTTAACGCTAAATTATCCCCTCAGTTTTTAGAAAAACCGATGTGAAAAATCTTCTTCTTTTGTGCATTACATTATTTATGCAGAATATTAAAACATAATATTACAACATATCCAGATTCTTAGAGAACAAACGATTTTTGTTGTAACGAGTTATCTACTTCAAACATTAGAAAATGTTATATGAATTGAATGCATCCGACTTCTAAAGGAGAGATATTTGTTCCAACCATTGGAATTTTTTTTTTTTTGCATTTGCAATCCATCATAAGCATCTTAAGTTCTTTTTCAAGCTTCTTAAGTTCCATCTTAAATAAAATGATAAGCATTTATCCCAAAGAATGATGCGTATGAGTTATGATTAGGGTAAAATTTGTTTAAGAAGTGCTTTTATAGTAAAATATGATTATCTTATCCC